GAGCAAAAAGATGCAAACATCTGGTGTGGATACACATGTAGCCGATCAGAAAGCCTGTTGGGTCTTGCACTAAGTGGGTGATGGAAAATCAGATTGCTGTGAGACAGGAATGCTGAGTGAGGGTTGTTTTAGAAGAGATTACAGCTTGCAGCCCCTGTTCTAACAGGCTGCTTTTTCTCTCTCACTCTTCCAAAATACGCATCTCCCAATCCAAGCCTATGCATTGCCTGCTTCCCCCCAGTTTTTTCCATATCTGTATTTCAGTTCTCAGGAGTTTTGCATGAATTAAACAAGTTTGATTATCTCACAGGAGGACACACATTGCTGACTTTGACTGATTTTAATCTCATAAAGGTGGTGAGGTCTTTGTCCAGCAATGCCCGGCTACATGGGCAGAGTGCTACAGCCACCTCATCCATGGCAATCCTCCACAACAGCAACAGCTCTGGTGAGAGGAGTAATGGAATTGGGGTGACATGATACGCAGCTCTGGGAAGAACAGGTACTGCTATGTCCACCTATAGACACAACCGAGGTCATCCTGCCCCATGCATGATGAGGGGACGTGAGAACTGGAGCTACCTGAGGCCACAGGCAGGAATAAATGGCTGCACTGGGAATAGGGAAGTCTGGAATCGGGCCCTTGCTATTCCAGAGCCTTGTAATCGTTCAGCCAAAAATATCCTGATGGCTTTCTGTTTATACGAATATAAACGACATCACAAACTCATGCTCATTAATGAACAAGATCTTAGAGAGGGGCCATTCAATGCACGGAGCAATTAACACAGCAGTTGATTAAGGCGGTTTGAGGATAAGTTCTATGAAGAATTCAATATCGCTGTGTTCCTTCATATAGGTGCTTGGCAGAAGCATGAAATCACGACAAATGTGATCTGTTAGCAGCGGGCATGCAGCTTCCCCGGGGAGGCAAGCACTGCTCCATCCCTGTGACTCCCCCAGCCCCCAGTGGCATTCAGTTGTTGCTGTGCAGAAGGGCCAAATACAGGGGTGCTCGCAGTGGGCACCTGCAGATTCACAGCACCTTATACCTTGTCCCCCCAACCCACACATGCGGGGTACCCGTGGGGTGCCATGTGTGGGGAGGCCATTTCTGTTAGGTGCGGAGTAGCCCATGGAGGTGAGGACTGATCTGTCTTGTGCTCCCAGCCAGAAACCAGTGTAAACACCACTCACCCCAGCCAGCAACAAAGCTGAGCAGGTATCTCACACGCTCTCCGTACACAGACAATCAACTAATGCCTTAGACCTGCTGCCTCTCTCTCCAGTTGCTGGCACTCAGACCTCTCATCCTACTCACCAGCTAGTCTGGCCTGAGGTTTTGCATCTGCAAAACTGCACATGCACACACAGAGCAGAGATCACACTCATGCAGGTGCAGGGCTTGGCCAGGAAAATGTACTGATCAGCAGCTTGTTTGCAAGCAACCGTCCCCTTTCGTCTCCCTCCACTCTGTTTTTCCACACTTGTTCCTCCCAGATCTACTTTGTTCCCTCCCTTTTTCCACCTTTGGCCTTTCCACTGAGTATACCATAATAAGTTTTGCACATTCCCACAAACGCTTTCAAATATTTGATAATATTCTCTTTCTGATGAGGCCCATGGTAATCTTGTTACCCTTTTCTTATCAGTTCCAAAGTTCTGGTTGAACATGGGTAAGGTGATGTTTGAGTGGTTCCCTCAAAGGCCCATCAGCACATGACTCCAGATTTCTGAATTTGGTGTTGCAGCTATCTACTGAGTGTTGGGGCTTGTGCCTGCTTAATTTACTACTCTTCCCATCTCTCGTCTTTGCTGTTTGTGCTGATTTGGATCTTGCATCGGAGCCCAGCTGTGTCTCCGTGAGTGCTGCAGGGTACCAGGGCAACCTTCTGCCTCACACGCCATCTCAGCAGCGCTGTCACATCTTTGGCAATGTGACAAGGACAAGGATGCCCTGGTCAGCATGTGTGGCATGAGCCTGCTCCAGTGACTACTGTGGTACAGTGCTGGCCCTTGCTGGGCAAGGCAGACACAGCAGGTCCCACCGGCCTCAGTTGCCCCTTCCGCAGGACAAAGGTGGCGTTCAGCCCCTGCCCTTTGTTGAGTGCTGTGGGTCTCACAGCGGCAATGTGCTCTCACAAACCCTAAGCTTTACTCTTACTATGATTGCTAGGAAGTAGGAGAGGTGACTCATTCTCCTAGGAAAATACTGCTTTCATTCAGAGCCTGGAACATTTCCCAAAAGTAATTAACTAGGAGAAACTGCTAATTAAAAGACCTGGTGCCTACAGAAGTGTTTGGTAGAGATGGGTGTCATCTTGCCAATTTTGAGGTGCTAAGATACAATACTTGAGCTCTCAGCTGCCATCAAAGCCCCGGCAGTGCTGCTGTCCAGTCTGCCCCAACAAGGTCTCAGCTGCGTGGGCGCTGGCTGGCCCCAGCAATGCAGGCAGTGAGCGATGAGGACAGCAGCTGCAGGATTTTGCTCTCCCCCTGAACTGTCTGTGAAGAGGCTGATGTCTTGGCTGTTGAGTCCAGTGCACCCCTGCATGCCACAAGATTTGTCTTGGTGCAGATTTGCCACCTGATTTGAGAATCTCTGAGGTCACACCATGATAGCTCGTGTTCCTGGTGGGCTGATCAGCCATCCCTCATCCCCAGCCTGTACCTGGGGTTTTGTTTCCAAACTTCTGTGCAGAACCAGGAAAAAAGTAGACATGCAAAAACCAGCTTCCTCAAAATAGACGTGCTCTGCCTGAACAGCAGCTGCAATCAGTTCAGGAAGATGGGAAAGGTGAACCCCTAACTTGTGCCCTGGCCAAGGGGTGTGTGTCAGTGACTCTCTGCTATGGTTGTTCTAAACCAGGCTGTTTGCAGGACGTGGCATGACAGTCGGGGCCTGGATCAGCTGTGAAGCTACTCCATTTACTAGAGAGAGCTCCTCCATGCAGAGTGGTTGCCTGCTACTTCCTAGGCTTTCAGACCCATTTCTAGTTTTACTGCAAGATTTTTCAAAAAAGGTTTAGTATCTTCCATCTCCCTGAATGGGAGAGCCATACGTCACTTCTGCAGTATGAAGAGATACGTTTTTCATATTTATGGTTACAGCAAGCCCTGTCTTCTTCCCTGGGTGGGTTTGGCACTGATGGACTCAGCAGCCTACCCGCTAGCTTCAAGCACAGCTTGTCTTTACACCACAGTGTTTTCCCCAGGAGAAAGTTGGTTGGCTCTGACCCAACAAACCTGAAGGAACAGGTGTTTTCTCTCTGAAAGGGCATTGCAACCTCAGGTACTCTCCAGGAAAGCAGAGGTGGTGTGTGGCAAAGACCCTGCAGACATGAGAGAGGTTTTACAAGAATCTCGCCCATGCAGTTACTTCTCTCCAGGAAGGTCCCATAGGTGCCTGGCTGAGCTCAGCTGGTCAGTGATTATACAGCCAGGGGAGAGTGAGGGAGGACCCAAACCCAAGGCATAGGAATCTTTGGGATCACAAAGCATTACATTATGTTGCTCTGTTGTGCACAGTAGGAGTTGCTTTTAGCAATTGATAAAGTGTTAATTTGCATTGTCTTTAGTGTGGCTACAAGTTGCTAACAGTCAGTAACTAAAGCTCTACAACAACTAGGGGAGGGAGTTGGTTTTCTGTTGTTTGTTGTTTTTTTTTTTTTTACAGCAAGTAATTTTACAACTTGTGAAGTGAGAATGCAGGGCTAGTGAGTTGGAGAAATCCTGGTGTTGGAAGGGTGGGCATGGGTGGCAGTGGAGGGGATCCGCAAATATCCTGAAGCAGCTGGTAATGACCATAAGTGCAGAGATACTTGAACTATACTTGTCTTACACTTGCTACATGCTAGCCCACTGCAGGGAGATGATTTCCATCCAGTGTATCATGCCACCAGCACTTTGTGTGCATTACCTGTCCATGCCTGGAATTAGTTTTGGGACCTTGGCAGGAGGGAATGGCTCTGGGGAGCCAAAGGGTGGGTGTGCTGGGTGGCAGCTGCAGCAGGAAGGTGTGGAGCTGTGGTCCACACACACATTGGTCATATTTTGGGCAAAGTGGAGCAATTTGCTATATGCAGCCAGTTCTGATCCAAAGGTATGCCCCAAATATCAACAGTCTGGGAAATGGCTGCTCTAGAAGAAGCAGGGCTGCCAGGTCTTTGCAGACCTGATGGTTCATGATCTCCTCCAGTAGTTCTCACAGAGGGGTTATGGGACTGCTTTGCATTAGAGATTGAATTCACCCAGCAGGGCCCATTCCAATAATTGTCTGAGAGGGATTTTAGCTTGCTTCTGATGGTGTCAGTTTGGAGTCAATGGCTTTGTCATGAGCCGTGTAAGCCCTGGCAGAGAGAGAGTGAGTCTGAAGGACAAGAACTACATCAGGAGTTTGGACGTCCACAGGAGGTACCTGTAGAGACAGGTCCTGGAGAACCTTGAAGGTCTCAGCTTCAGGTCTCCTGTGGTCTCTACGCCCAAATAGCAATGCAGGGAGAATGTAGTTGGGTAACAGTCTGCCTGTGTCAGTCGCACTCCCCTTGGTGTGGCTCTGTTACAGTATTCACGTTTTTCCCTGGCTGTGCATGGCTGTCAGACATGATGAGAATTAATCCTCTGTATGAGTTTCAGAAACATTGTGTGACATTACTGACCATCTCTGTGATAGTGTGAATGCCTTGGAGATGCAGAAAATAGTGATCAGATGGAGGAGGGGGCTGCTGTGATGTCTGAAGGGAGCCTGCACCCTGCTCACCTTTACTGTGCTGCAGCTGAAAAAAGGCCCTGTCCTCCGTGGCTCCTGACCTTGTCCTCAGCAGGTTGTTTCATGTACTGTTGTGTGAAATCTCTGTCTTTGAAAGCTTGCATTCTTCCTCAGCTCTTTCCCAAGGCTCTGCCAGGGCATGCTAGTTGTCCTGCATGCTCAGGGAAGAGCTGGCAAGCAGCAATCACTGCTGTGGGCTTGGCCCTGAGACTCCACTGGAGGAGCGTGTCCCATGGCCGGGACGCAGCGGGTGATCCAGAGGGCTGAACCAGGAGCCTGTGCAAATGCTCCCCCGGACACAGCCCACTCATTCACCCTGGAGGAGGAGACCTCAGTGGTGCCCAAGCGTGGGATGGACAGCCTCTTCCTCCACAGCAAAAAGAGGACTGAGACAGTCCTCACTGTGCTGGCACTTTGGGGGCCACCTGCCTTCCTGGAGATCCTTCTCCAGCAGCCGGTCCCAGGGTCAGCCAGCGATGCTGTGGCCGGGACACACCTGCACTGTGTGCTCCAGGTTCCTCTGCTTGTTGTCTGACTTGAGTGCTCTCTTTTCTTTTCCAGAGCGCGTTTCCACATCACACAGGACACTACAAGGAGGTGACTGTGGAAGGCCCTGCCTGAACAGTTAAACACATTTGTTCCCCAGATTGCAAACGCTGCTGCATCCCAGCACTCCCAGATCAAACACTGGGAAGAGAAAACAAGGTGGCCACAGCCAGGGAGAGGAGCAAACAGGAGCACAAGTGCCAGCTGCTCTGGCAGAGGAGGGACCGTGTGTGTGTGGCGCACTGGGTGAGGCAGTTTTGCAGAGCTGCGTTTGTGCCCTCTCCAGAGCACAAAGCAAAGCTCTGCCACGTTCCAGGCCAAACCCTGACACCTTACAGGATTTCATCATCTCAATCCCTGCTGCTGTGCTATCCCTGACTGTGTTGTCAGAGCTTGCCACCTTCTGACTGAGCTGGATCAGCCTGGAAGGCTTCTGCAGTTCATCACAGCTCAGGGATAAGCCAGCCCTGCAAAAGAAAAAGCCATCAGCCCTGGTTTGGATGGGTTGCACTGGTGGACTCTCAGCACCATGTTCTTTGACTTCCTTCTGGAAGTTTCAGCAAAATGGGATGGAGATACTGTAGAAGGCAGGGAGGAAGAAGGAGAAAGAAGAGAGAAGGACGCTCCAAAGACAAGGGGTCTCCCTGAGAGATTAGGGCGGAGGGGACCAGCTTGAGAGTGGAGAGAAGAAAATTTCTGCCAGAAGAAACTCCCAGGAGAAATGGCATGGGAAACTGGCAGGAGTATGACTCCTAGCAAGAGTGGGTGAACATCTGGACTGAACCAAGGGGAGCACACAGGGGACTCGGCAGAATTCATTCCCTTTGCAGACTTTTGGAATAACCTCATAACAGAAGTCCCAGATAAGTCTTGCTCCATTGACATTTTCTTTGCTTAACGTTTTTGCCTGTCTAGAGTTGAGGGATGCTGCGTGCCTGCGGAGGTAGTGAATCCAAACAGGGAACCTGGACCACATGCCAGGCTCTGGGGGTCCCTGGCAGAGAAGCGTTCCCTGCCCAGCTGAGAAACCCTCATGGAGCTGCTTTGGGCAAGGGTTGAGCTGCAGAAAGAGGCTCCATCTGGCAGACATCAGCCTGATTGTCTTCTCTGTGGGCCAAAGAAGTGTGAGGATGGAAGCCTTTTTTCTGGGACATGGCAGTGTACTATTTTGGGTAGCATCTTCAGCGATCCTGACTCCCTAAAACAGTCCAGAAATATAATTAGGATAGTTTGAATTGGACCTTGATATCTAGACTACTCTGAGCTGGGGCTTTTACACTAGCATAGCTAATGCACCACTCCACATCAGCTGTATGCATATATCTCTCTTCTGTTCCTTATCTCACCCCTGTCCTCCCTCCCTCTCACACATACCTTCTGAAGCACTGCTCAATTCTTGGGAAGATCACCTGGATCCCTGGATCTAGCCTGAGCTTCGTACACGATGGATAGAGGGGGTCAGCTCACTACCCCTGTAAGAGACCGCACTGAATTTCTGCCTCCAGGAGCAGAAATCAGCCTCACCCCCGTCACTTCATTCTTTCTTTCCTGAAGGAGGGGAGTGTGATGGTGGC